TACCCATGCGGCCCCCCCGCCCCCCCCCAAAAAAAAAGAAGAAGTCACAAACAAGATAACTAGAATTAGAAGATGGGTGGCCCGAAAGCTTTATCAGCGCGCGGCGGCAAGTTCTCCTCGCGAGTTTTCTGCGCAAGTTCCTCTGAGCAAGTTGTTGGTGCGAGTTCCTCTGAGCAAGTTCTCCAAAAAAGTTTTGGGCACAAGTTCTCTGAGCAAAGAAGTTTCTGGGAGCAAGATCCCTAGTTCCCTGCGGGCAGCGTAATACTTTCGTTTCAGGATCTTCCAGCATGAAAGTGTACTTCGTGTACTACTTTTTCGTACTTCGAGACGTTCCGATTCCCCATCCGCAAAAGCACTTTGCGAAATACTTTTGCACCACTGGCTTTGTAATTTAAAAAGCTGCGGAGACCAAGCAGGATTTGAGCCTGGGGCCGCTCGCTTCCAAGAGCAGGCGCGCAAACCACGAGGTAAACTTTCAATCCTAACGTTTTACTCGCATTTCGTGCGATGGATCCTCGCAGGGCAAGTCCACAGCCGCGAGCCGCGACAACTATTTTGACATCGACCTTGCCGATTCCGGAGAGGGTCGCGTGGGCATATTGAAAGTCGGAAAAGTCCTGTATCTTTGGCGGCGGCCATACCGATCCTCGCAGAGGGTTGCGCGCGCACCACAGAAATCGTAAAAAGCGCGCAGGTTTTCGATCGCCAAGTTGGTGCAGGCCAGCTGCGTTCAAAAAGCAATTTAGACTTGTCGGGCTTCACATTTTTTACGCGCGAATTCACAGTAATGTCAACAAAGATAGTGACCTAGTGTAGGACGCTGAAAACTTCTCGAGCCTCTCTTGTAATTTGCTGTAGTAGCTTGCTAAAGCAACCTCTTGTGCAACTTGCCCTCCGATTGCGCTAGTGCAACTTGATAATGCAACTCGCGACTGCATCTTGCAAGTGCAACTGGCTACTCCAACTTCCTAGCGCCACTTGCTGGTGCAAATTCTGCCAGGGCTATCTTGCTAGCGCTACCTTGCTAGTGCTATCTTGTTAGAGCTCCTATGGTGCTACTTGGTAGTGCAACTTGCTAGTGCTTTTTGGGCAAGCCAGGAAAGTTGCTGGAATCTGCGCTTGAACATTGCCCAAGAGGGTCCAACGTGTTCAGATACCTAGGCGTTTAAAAACTATGTAGTAGGGGCCACGCAACAAAGAGAGTTGTTTTGATAGCCACATCAACCTCTAAGGTGCCCTAAAGGTGCATAAAAGTGGCTTGGGGTGAAGCAGTGCTCTTTGGGCAGAAGACGGTTTTTGCAGATGTTTTGCTTGCAGACTGCTCGCTGAGGACAGTGAGGGAGAGAGCCAGTCCATGTGGGCCTCATCCAAGCAGGAGTTCCAGAAGGAGCTCAGGGCACTGAGCAATGGCAGTTGGTAAACGTCATCCGGAATAAGTTAACTGTGCTAGCGAGCCGCTTGCAATCCGGATGCGTGGGTTTCTTTCTCATTGCATGTGCGTCCGCTATGTGTGTGCGCGCGCATGCGCGCGCAGTGCGGGCATGCGTTGAAATGCGGGACACAAACACAGACAAGCTTTTTGTCTCTCCCTCTCTGTCTCTCACACTCGCACGTGCACGCGCACGAGAAGGCGCACACGCCTACACACGCGCGCAACACACACACAGACAACCACATGCGCTCAAGCATACGCACATGCACGAATGCGCGTGCATGCGCAGGCGCAAGCGCACAACCTCACACGCTCAGACACACACACACACACACACACACACACACACACACACACACACACACACCGCAAGCACGCGCTCGTGCGCGCGGCGCGCGCAGAGTCACACGCGCACACCCTCAGCAACGGGCACACACGTGGACGCACGAAAGCCAAGAAATTTCGCTGGGTGTACATTGGCACGTTTGCCATCCCCCCCGCTTTAAACCCTGATAGGTGGCGGGAGCGACCCAGTTTGTGTGTTTGTGTGTTTGTGTGGTTGTGTGGTTGCGCGTTTGTGTTTGTATTTGTGTGTGTGCATGTGTGTGTGTGTTTGCCAGTTTGCGTGTTTGCGTGCATGCGTGCATGCGTGTTTGCGTGCGTGCGTGTTTGCGTGTTGCATGTTTGCGAGCTTGCGTGGTTGCGTGGTTGCGCGTGTGTGTGTGTGTGTGTGGCTGTTTGTTTGTTTGTTTGTTTGTTTGTTTGTTTGTTTGTTTGTTTGTTTGTTTGTGGTTGCTTATTTGTTTGTGTGCGTCTGCGTGTGTTTGTTTGTGTGTTTGCGTGCGTGTGAGTGTGGGTGTGGGTGTCTGTGTGTGTGTGTGCGTGCGTGCGTGTGGGTGTGTGTGTGTGTGTGCGTATGCGCGTCGCGCGCGCGCGCGGGAGTGTGTGTGTGTGTGTGTGTGTCTGTTTCTGTTTCTGTGTCTGTGTCTGTGTCTGTGTCTGTGTCTGTGTCTGTGTCTGTGTCTGTGTCTGTGTCTGTGTCTGTGTCTGTGTCTGTGTCTGTGTCTGTGTCTGTGTCTGTGTTTGTGTGTGTGTGTTTGTGTGTGTTTGTGTGTGTGTGCGGTTTCGTTGTTGTTGCGGTGCCTACAAACACTTAGGTGCATTTTGCTTGGATGGACCTTCACTTTTAGCCGCATGAAACCACTAAAGTTAGACTTTTAGCAGGGGAGCAGAAAGCAACCGAGAACAAATAAGTGCAGGGCGGGCCGGAGTGGAACGCGTCGGAGGTAGTAAACTATTCTTGTTTAATCCGCTGAGGTACCCAAAGCATCCGCGATTGAAAAAATTCAATCTCGATGTGCGGATTTTATCTGCGATTGAATTTTGGGAAAACTGTCCGCGATCGTTTTTCCTTAGCATTTTCGCGATTGAATTTGTCAACACTACTCCGCCCTGTCGCGATTGAATTTCGTAAAGGAGGGCAATTTTGGCGATTGAAGTTCAGATGTCATGATTTGCAGCGATTGAATTTGGAAAAATGCTTCCTTCATCACCCTTGGTGGAAGCGCCCCCCATTAAACTCCTTCAAGAAAAGCGCTGGTGGAAGCGCCCCCCCCCCCAAAAAAAAAAAACGCGCTGGTGGAAGCGCCCCCCATTTAACTCCCCCAAGAAAAGCGCTGGTGGAAGCGCCTCCCAAAAAAAAACCGCGCTGGTGGAAGCGCCCCCCAACGCGCTGGTGGAAGCCCCCCCCCAAAAAAAAAAACGCTGGTGGAAGCGCCCCCCCCTCCCAAAAAAAAGAAAGCGCTGGTGCGCCTCGAATGCCTTCTGCACGCGTAGGACTGCGTCTTTAGAGGAGCGTGCTTGAACATCACCAAACACGTGCACCCAAATGATGCACATTGGGAAGATTTGACTTCAATGCACGCAGACATGCATCCCCGAGGCATGTCAGTCCGCTTGTGAGCTTCATGTGTGCTCGTCGCCCTTCTGGATCTCTTGGCTCACAGGGTGAAAGCCTGGCTCAGAAAGTGCTCCGTGTCTGTGAGGCACCATGAAGGCATCACTTCGAGCGGCTGGTCGTGGAGGCGCCCGGAACTGGAGGAAGGAGGATCTGGACCAGACAGCGCTGATCCAGGCCTTCACGCAGCACGCTGTCCAGCATGGACCTCTGAGCCTTCTCCAATTCGGCCCGTACTTGGGCCTCCCGACCACGAGGGCCATCATGGGGGCGGAGCTGGTCCGGCTGTCTCCTATCCTCAGAATGTTCCTGGCGCAGATCCCTGCGGGCAAGGTCAAGCTCACTTGCTTGCGCACCCTGTACATCAAGTTCTGCTCGCAGCACCCGGCCGTGTGGCATTTCTTGGGGACGCAGAAGTCGCTGAGCGACCATGCGACAGACTGCGCCAACACTTGCCTGACTATGCTCGCCCATGCTCGGCGTCTCACGGATGAAGTGAAGTTCCGCCAGGCAGCGTCGGGCCTCACCACATCGGAAGCGCAGGTGCTGGAAAGTCTCCGAGACCACTTCCGAATGCAGCGGCACCAGCCCCTATCAGCCGACGAGGCTGAGGGGGGCGACTCCGGCGCCGGGGTGGGAGAGGTGGACCTGGACCACCTGTCCGACTTTTTGGCGTCACAGGAGCTGCCTGCAGATCTCGAAAAGCGGTCAGGAACAAAACAGGTTCTGAAGCGGCCCGCCCAGCGTGCGCCAAGCGCAGTACATGCCAGGAAGAAGCCCGCTGCCAGCAGCGCGGACATCTCCAAGGAGGAGGCTCTGCGGCAGTTCCCACAAGGCTGCGGCAAATGCCGTGGAAAGCCGGGCTGCTATCGCAGCTGCCATAAGTATCGTGGGTTCCGCCTGATTGAGTAGCTGATGTGTTCCTGAACAGACAGTTTTGTTCGTGTAGGGGATCGCTCCGAGCCAGCAGAAAAAAGCTTACTGCCTGCGTGGCGCAGGTCCTAGGGCAATGTAGGACACTTTGAGCACGCTACTTGTCATGCGTCTGGATAGCTTCAGCCTCAAGCCAATCCTTAGGCGCAGCCAGTGTCGCTGGCCTTCGGGCCGCGCACCAAAGCCGACTAGCTGGCCTTCGGGCCGCTCGCTTGTGCTGGCCTCGCGGCCGCTGGCCTCTGGGCCGCGAAACATCGCTGAGCAGCCAGTGTCGCTAGCTGGCCTTCGGGCCGCTTGCTTGTGGCTTAGCTGGCCTCCGGGCCGCTTTCTTGTGGCTGTGCTGGCCTCCGGGCCGCCAGAAACACCGCTGGCCTGCGGGCCGCGCAGAAGGCAGCGCTGGCCTACGGGCCGCTCGCTTGTGCTGGCCTCGCGGCCGCTGGCCTCTGGGCCGCGAAACATCGCTGAGCAGCCAGTGTCGCTAGCTGGCCTTCGGGCCGCTTGCTTGTGGCTTAGCTGGCCTCCGGGCCGCTTTCTTGTGGCTGTGCTGGCCTCCGGGCCGCCAGTGGACACCGCTGGCCTGCGGGCCGCACAGAAGGCAGCGCTGGCCTACGGGCCGCGGCGGCCGCTTGATTTGACAGGGCTGGCTTCTGGGTCGCGCGCACGGCAGTGCCCGCTGGCAAGCAAAAAGCGTGCGCTCCTCCGTCCCAACTTGTTGTGTCTGCATGTGCACACATGGGTGTTTCTAGAAACCCCAGCATGTCTCGTTGCGCATGAGTTGCTCTGCTGCCGCTTTGCTCTTGGTTTGCTTCCTGCTTCGTTTAGCCCGCAGCATGAGCCGGAAGGCTAAGCTGACACCGCGGCAGCCGACCAGTAGCAGCAGCGCTGACCAGAGCGACAGCTTGGAGAGCTCGGAAAGCGAGTGCAGCGACTCGTCGGCGTCCGTCATGTCGCCGCCTCCGCCAGCCCCGGGGCGCGATGGGCCACCTGCTGGAGACCAGCCTGCAGGCCCTCCGTACCCCGCCAGCGAAGTTGCACAAGCGGTGTCTCCTGCTGCCAACACTCCGCCAACGGCTCTCCCCAAAGCTGCGCCAGCTGCTCCAGCAGAGCTGCCTGCTCTCCCCAGCGACTCGGCGCCCCAGGCGGACACGCCGGGCCAGCGCCGGCCTCGCTCGCCCGTGGCGCCGCCCCGCAAGGTGTCGGAAGATTCTCTTCCGCTGGCAGCTGGGGAGCCGGAGGAAGACCATGCCGGCCGCCGCAAGTCGCGCGGCGGCGCACGCAGAGTCCCGCGCTCCTCGGACACGTCCCAGTGCGCCACATGCTGGCGCTGGATCACGAACGGTGACTGGTCCTGGCATCAGCACCGGCAGAGCCCGTATCACCGTGCCTGGGCTTGCAAGGCCGGCGAGGCAGCTGAGCAAGGCGCTGATGGCCCGCCGGCCGCTGGGCCTGCCAAGGTGGTCAAGAGTGAAGTCAAGGAGGAGGAGGCGGCGTCAGAGGCTTCGGATGTCTCGAAGCGCAAGAAGAAAAAGAAAGCTCGCCGGTCCGCTCCTGACCGCGAGGCGGATCCTCGGGACCACCGCGGCCCGCCCGACGACAAGAACGACCCTTCTGGCTCCGGAGCCGGGGGTGAGAAGGCAAAAGCCTTGACCGCTATCTTTGAGAGAGCTGTGCAAGCCCTTGAGAGCTTCTAGAGCTCTGGCACGCCGCTGAGATCATCTGGCCTCAGGGCCGGCAAGCTGGCGATTTTGCGCGCGCCAGTGGATTGGCTTGGCTTCGTTGTCGGCTTTTGGGCTGATGGCCCCAGGGCAAGCAATCGGCCTCCGGGCTGCCACTGCCTCCTTCGCTCCGGCACAGCAGACGAATGGAGAAAAAAAGGCGTCGGGTGGTGCGCTCTTGCATATACATACATAAACATATATACATATACACACATGTATTTACATATATACACACATTTATATATATATATATATATTTTTATATATGTGGTGGGTTCTCATGTATGTATGTATGTATTTATGTATGTATACACATACAACATTCGCTGGCGTACATGTACACCCACTAGAATTGGAAACTGAGAGAAAACCAAACACGCTTGACCACATGGCAACGCTCTTCAAACACTGGCAGGAGGTCAGAACGTGTCAGAAGACGTCTTCTGACTTCAATATGATCGGAACATGTCAGAGGACGTCTTTTGACGTCAGAAGATGTCAGAACATGTCAGAGCATGTCTTTTGACGTCAGAACGTGTCAGAGAATGTCTTTTCACGTCAGAAGATGTCAGAACATGTCAGAAGTGTGTCAGAAGATGTCAGAAGTGTGTCAGAAGATGTCAGAAGTATGTCAGAAGACGTCATAAGATATCTTGTGGTTGTTGTTATCTTTTTAAAAAAGCATGTCGTTACCAGTAGACTTCCGTCCGCCGCTGTCGCTTGGCTCCGCAGCACGCTCTGCTACTGGCCCGGCACGCTGTCTCAACGCTCCTTTGCGCCAAGCCCTACGCGACCATGCCCCTGAAGCGCCCTGCAGCATCCGTGCTGAAGAAACCGGCGGCTTCGGCCGCTGAGCCGGACGTGGCCCAGCTCACGACGGCGCCGGAGATCGGCAAGTTCCTCTTCGGACACGATGAGGACGAAACTTCGCGCCGCTTGGCGCTCTTGTCCGACTCGCAGAGGCAGACGCTGACGAAAATGTTCGAGCGTGCTCGCAAAGAGCACGGGCAGGAGTACGATGCTGTCAGTCTGCAAGGGGCAGGCGCCAACCGCAAGAAAGGCGAGCTCTTGCTTGCTTGGCTTCAGCACGGCTTCAACGAGACTTACTGCACTCTGGCAGCAAAGATTGTCATGAAGCAGTCTCGCCTGACTCGGGAGGAGTGGATCCCCTTGCGCGAAGCCCAGCGCTTGTATGGCCGCTTTGAGCTGAAGAAGCGCCTGAAGAAGGGATCCTTGGAGTCGCGCCGTGATCCGGCTGACCCCGAGTTCTTCCAGGTGCGGAGGCGCCGGGAGCTTCAAGAGACTGGCACCACCAAGCAAAAAGAGCTCAAGGCGCTGTCCACAGGAGGAAAAGCTGGCGCCAAGCATGTCTGGGGCCAGCTGGAATCTGACGAGCAAGCTCCGGGCTGGTCCGACTTGAAGCTTGCCCGCCCAGCAAAGAAGGGAAGGATCGGCGCTGGTGGCGGGCGGGCCACAGACGTCGATGCTATGATGGCCCTGCTGGATGAGGGCGGGTCGGATGACAATGTCGACGCAGAGTCCGACAATGTCGGAAGCGCCGATGACGATGAGTTCGGGCAGTCTGCCGACTCGGAGGAAGAGCCGCCTCTGGCCCTGGAAGACAAAAAGTCCCGCCGGGCATCTCGCTCCCAGGCGCCAAGCAGCAAGGTCAGCTTGGACGACGTTGAGAAGTACAGCGCCAAAGTTGGATCTGTGCATCGTGAGGAGCTTCGGCGCCGCCTGTCTGCCACCGCCAAGCTCGCCACTGCTGCCATCGAGGAAATGACCGCCGCGCAGGACGCATCGAAAGGCCAGCAGAAGCAGCGGATCGTCGGCTGCAGCAATGCCTCGAAAGCTGCGCTGACACAGGCCCAGGCGGCGCTCGCAGACAACGGCGCAACTGCCGAAGTCTGTAAGCGGGCGCTGCTCGAATGCGTCAAGTCCTTGAGCGCGTGGCGCCGGACACGCGCTACATCGGCCTGATCTGTAAGTCGGCGCGCGCGCCCGGTCTAGAGCATATATATAACTTGATCATGAGCCAGTTTGTCGACTGGCAAGTTTTGTTCGAAGCCTGACAGCCAGAGATCGCTCGGAAAAGGACTTGCTGCCCGCGCTCGTTTGCGTGCCTTGATTCAACTATTATAATTTTCACACGTCATGCGTAGGTTGCTCTTTTTTTTAATCGCCCGCTGGAGCCGTTGCTTGTCTCTGCCGCACGCTGCTGCCCAAGCTGTTGCGCCTGCAGCCATGGCTAGGAGGCGAGGATCAAAGCGCACGATCGAAGAGAGAGCGCTGGATGAGGCAGCATCACCACATTCCCAACTCTGGACCTGCATCATGGAGCTTTGGGCCTGGGGCGTTCTGTCAAGCCCAATTGTGCAAAAGCTGGCGCAAGCAGCCCGCCGGAGCGGCTGCTCTGCCCACGACATCGACACGTTGGCGCAGCTAGGTGCCAGCGGTGCGCACGAAGGCAACTGCCACCGGGACTTACTGCGCGCGTACGCTGCCCGTTGCGTGACCCCGGCGCTATCGCCGGTGACTTGCCCAACGAAGGTCAGAGCGCCGGAAGGCGCGGCAACGCTCGACACTCAGCAAGCAGTGCTGCCTGCTTCCCAATGGATCCGGCGCGTGTGTGAGCATGGCTTGGACACAGCCTTGCTGGGCTCGGACGCAGAGCGCGCAATCTTCTGGGCCGCCCAGAAGGACTCGCCTCGCGCAACGGGCGTAGGCTACTACCATGTCCGTGACTTCTGCCCAGAAAAAACAATACCGCTGCTACTTTTTGCCGACGGCGCGAGCCATGCGGAGCACGATTCCATCGTGTCAGTGAGCTTCCGGAGCCTCTTGGCGCACCAGTGCGACATCGCAGAGAGCATGTTTCTCCTAGCGGCCATGCCCAAGTCGGCCACTGTGAAGAAGGAAACATGGCGGTGCTTGTGGCAGGCCTTGGTAGAAGATCTCAATCGTTTGGCCCACGGGCTGGACCACGACGGCTCCGCGCTGCCTCTCAGAGCTGTAGTGTGGGTTGTCTCTGGCGACTACGAGCATATGGCCAACGAGTATGGCCTCCCGCACTGGACGAGCCTTGCCTGCTTCTGGTGCTCTGCGCCAAAGGAGCACTTCTTCGCCTTTGCTGACATCCCAGCCTTGACGCGGTCGGCTGAAGACATGCTGGACCAGGATGCGCTGGACCATCCACTCAAAGCTTTGACCAACTACTCTCCATGCATGTTTGCCATCGACACCCTTCACTGCGTGGACCTCGGAGTGGCAGCCCACGTCTACGCCAACGTGTTCCATGAGCTCACACAGGAGTGGCCAGAAACTAAGGCGGCCAGCCTGAGCAGACTCAACAAAGAGCTGCGGTCGCACTGCGTTGCAGTCGGGTCGCCCGCGCCGCCGCTGCTGCGATACGAAAACTTCGCGCCACGGTCCGGCGAGTACCCGAAGTTGCGCCACATGAAAGGTGCCGCAATACGCCGCTTGGCGCCAGCTGTGCAAGCCCTTGCTGCCGCATATGGGCGCGGAAGCGCGCATCGCAAAAGGAGGGCTCGCGTGGCCGCCTTGCTGCGCGCAATCTATGACTCGACTTCCTGCCGAGACCTTGTCATGCCAGCAGCCAAGCACGCGGAGTTTGCCCGCGTGCTGACGGAGTTCCTGGAAGAGTATGCCAAGCTAGCCACCTCCTGCAGGGGTAACGGATGGCACGTCGTCTTCAAGTTTCACATGCTCAGGCACTTAGACGAACAGTCTAAGCACTTGAGCCCGCGGTTTGTGTGGACATACCCAGGAGAAACTTTTATGTCGTTCATGTGCCAAATCGCCAGCTCTTGCTCGCGGGGCACGCCTGGCCGACTGCTTGGCGTCAAAGTGCTGCAGAAGTACCGGGTCGCCCAGCATCTCATGCTATCGCAGCAGATCCCTACGCGCTCACGGTTTCCAGTCGATGAACTCGACGAA